TGATGCCTTGGAAAGTATTGAAGACTCCTTTCAGCAACTAACGAAAAATAGGCTACTGCATGAAAATGACGTTCTTGATTTAACTACAACAGCGGACCGGCATGGAGGCTGATGAATCTCAAACATATAGTTACTTCAGGCGCCAGTCAATAATAAAATAAACAATAACAAATAAAACTTTATTACTTTATTGTTCACTGACTGGAAATGTGGAGAGTGAAGATGGAATGATATCTGATAATGCCACACAAAGATAAAAATAATCAAAACTTCTAAAACAATGTAATTATACTAGTTTTGGTGCTTGTACCAACTATATGAGCCGTGTCACGACAAAACCAACATAATGGATTTGCGACCAGCAAATGCGGATGCGCAGGCTTATCAAGATCCATTCTGTTGGCTATCAGTTTCTCTACTTGTAATAGAGTTAGTAAGCGAACAGCATGGAGACTGTGCGGATGCACAGGATGGTTTGGATCCATGCTGGTCGCAAACGCACTATGTTGGTTTTGTCGTGACACGGCTCAATTATTATAATTAATCCTAACATACAATTGGTTGAACAAAAAAATCAAGTTCTTAAGTAACATTACTAATGGGAAGAAGTTCATAAGACACTTCGTCTTTCATTCTAATCCTGTTTTTTAACAATACTTGAAATGTCTTGTATATATTGTAAATTGTAACATGTATATATATTCTGAGAAATAAAATATTTTTAAACTAACCTATGCTGAAAATAAATAATAAATGGTTTTCTTAAATGGAGTAATGTTACTGTTTCATAAAATCTAACAATTATTTACAGCCCTACATTTCAATTAATTCTACAAGTTACCTTCAACACATGTATACTTCTCACCTATTTCCATATAATTAAGCCCCTCTCATTGAATACTATATTTAATAATACCATGTAAATTATTGATTTTTTTTTAGAAATATAGAAACAAAAATTTGTTAAAATAAATTAAATACAACATCAAAAAAACTCCACCAAGTTTCTTCAATATTTTTTTTCCCAGATTGAGATCTGTCCTTTTGGGCTGTACCTGATTAAACTTTATAAATCATTTCATTTACCCTTAAAGAAAATTGTCTTCAGATGAAAAATGTTCAAATAAATTTTACTAAAAAATGAATATATCTATCCACTGTTTTAGAAATAGTCATCTATACATTGACACACAGTTTTCAAATGTTCGTAATCATTTAAAAATAGCCTACTGAGATTTAATCTAATTTGAAAGAAACCATTTTGAATGGCAAACATTCATCTTTCCTAAAGTGATATGACACAATTCCCTACATTTTAATTGTTTTAAAAGTTTATATGAATTTGTATTAGTTTGAATGTGTTGTAAGCTTTAAGCTTAGAACCAACCAGTACAAAGTAATGTGTGTAAAGTTTCTTGCCCCTGACCTGGTTTGAACCCAAATAGCAAACAATCCTTAGATTACTAGTCCAACATGTTAACCCCATGGCTTAGCTGCCACATGTATTTTTTTGAATGTCATTATAACAATCCTTTAGAAATAGACAATAAATAGGTAAAATATTCCAGGCAGGGCTTGCAGGACAAATCTATTTAATTTATAAAAAGATTAAAATACAATAAATATTATCTCAACCACAATAGCTTGACAAATACCATGAATAGCACACTTGTTGATAAACATTTATGTTAAGTTTTTACACAACAAATATATTAAAAATAAATATAGAACAAAAACCAGCAACAACAAGAGATGGTTATATATAATACATGATTACACTATTTTATACTATAATGATGAGGGGAAAAAAAGAACGAAGAAACCTGCTCTGCACTAGGGTGATAACACTGTGCCTATACTACCAATATACTGCCAGGCCACCCAACAAATTACTGTCAACAGACCAGACTCTACACTGCTTGTAATCTCTTAACCTTTCAACTCCTGAAATACTTAAATGGACTTGTCCAACTTCCATTATGGAACAGTCCACTATCATTTTAGTGGATATTAAGATGAAAGTTTTGCCAACAGTGACTGTGAGCCTGGTTGATTGCAGACTGGCCTGGCTCTATACTGGTGGCAAAGGCTAATCACTTTAGATCTGAGCAGGGGTACCAGCCATAGCTATCAATGGAAGTTCGAAATTCAGGGCAAGTCTTATATATATTCAACAGTCAAGGTTAAAACTATCAACAAGCAATAAATAAGCAAATGAAAACTAACAATTGTAACGGTCTGTTCAACTGGACGGGTATTACTAATTAAAACATATCAACACTGAAGAACAGCAGCATGTAAATTAATTCATTGATGAAAAAACAATAGAAATATATGTACGTAAATAATCATTATAAATATTTGTAAATAAATAATACTTTATACGGTGGGAATGTAATTTTTTTTACAAATTTCATGGAATGTTCACAAGTTCATAATATATATAGTAAAAATTATTTGTAAAATACTGAAATAATTCATCTTCTGTTACTAAGGACGGAGCAAAAAAAACACATGTTTGCATAAAAGCAATGAAGCATTAATGTGATATACATTGTATATAAATAAATTTGAGCATGAAAACGAAAGATAATCAACATAAAAGAATGCATAGTACAAGGGTGTTTTTAACAGTAATATAGTTATGTTGCTGCTCAGTAAAAATTTAAAACAGGAGTTGTTGGTAGGACACTGTGCTAGACTATTCTTAATTCTTGACAGTAAAACAAAGGTCCAGATAAAGTAGAATTTTCAAGTTTAAAAAGGGCCATAACTCTGTCAAAATCCATGTAAGGGTTATAGGCCTCAGTGACCTCCTATTATGCTCCCAAATAAATATATGAAGTTTCAATGGAAGCTTTGGAGATACCAACTTGTGTGCAGTGTGACACTGACACCCAGGTGGGTACAACATTGTACAATAGATTTCCCTATTCTTTGCATAGGCGAGCTAAAATGTTCAGGTTTAAAACTGGAATTCTCAGACAACATACATGAACAGACTCAAACTGAGCTGTGACATTTTCAATCATGTCCTTTTGGCAACAGTTTCCATTCTAAGTACTCTATTTGCATGATTTTACATTTTTTTGCCGCATGTTTCACTGAGGAAATATTATTATTATTGCATAATTATTTTGACATATATATTTTATTATAATTTTTTTTTAACTCTTGTACTATGCACCCTTTCATACTGCAAGACATAAAAATACAATTACATGTACAATAAATACAATCAAGCAGTCACAATTCAGCTAATAAAAATAATTTGATACACAAAATAATACAAACAAACAAACAAAAATCAAAATTAAGTTTTCAATGAAACACTGCCTTAACTCAATAAATATTATGAAACAAGTTAAAACAGCCCTGCATTAAAGTGAATTGGTCAAAACTGGAAAATCTGTTAGACCATAAATAACTAGAACTATCACTAAATGTGATTAATACCCCCACAAGTCTGCTTCGGAAATGAGGATGTTACTAGTAACAGAATACCTTGTAAAAGAATTGAAACATAGAGTTATGGTTGTGGGCAATTAAAGATAATTGTGGTTCATGTATGTTGCATTTCCTTTCAATGTGGTTGGCCATTGATGAAGTTTAATTGAATTACTCTGTAATAAGTCCAGAAAGACAAAGAAAAAGAACAAAGGGCAATAACTCTATAAATACTGAAGATAGAGTTATAGTTCTTGTGCACTGCACTTCCTCTTATTGTGCTTGACCATTGTATGAAGTTGTTTTGGATTCAAACCAGTACGTTTTAAGTTATGCTCCGGACAAGGAAAAGTATCAAAGGGCAGTAACTCTGTATTTTGTCAAAATGGAGTTATGGCTCTTGTGCACTGCACTTCCTTTTAATGTCCTTGACAACTGTATGAAGTTGTACTGAATTCCAAACTGTAGTTTTCAAGTCATGCTCTTGACAAGGAAAAGTAACAAAGGGCAGTAACTCTGTAATTAGTCAAGATGGAGTTATGGTTCTTATGCACTGCACTTCCTCTCAATGTGCTTGACCATTGTATGAAGTTATAATGAATTCCAACAATAAGTCTTCAAGTTATGGTCCGGACAAAAGAAAGCAATGGAAAAGTAACAAAGGGCAATAACTCTGTAATTAGTCAAGATGGAGTTATGGTTCTTGTGCACTGCACTTCCCCTTATTGTGCTTGACCATTGTATGAAGTTGTTTTGAATTCCAACCAGTAGTTTTAAAGTCATGCTCTGGACAAGGAAAAGAAACAAAGGGCAGTAACTCTGTAATAAGTCAAAATGGAGTTATGGTTCTTGTGCACTGCACTTCCTCTCAATGTGCTGGACCATTGTATGAAGTTATAATGAATTCCAACAATTAGTCTTCAAGTTATGGTCCGGACAAAAGAAAGCAATGGAAAAGTAATAAAGGGCAATAACTCTGTAATTACTTTAGATAGAGTTATGGTTCTTATGCACTGCACTTCCTCTCAATGTGCTTGACCATTGTATGTAGTTATATTGAATTCCAACCATTAGTCTTCAAGTTATGCTCCGGACAAGGAAAATGCAACGGACAAAAAAAAAGCAATGGAAAAGCAACAAAGGGCAATAACTCTGTAATTACTTTAGATAGAGTTATGGTTCTTGTGCACTGCACTTCCCCTTATTGTGTTTGACAATTGTATGAAGTTGTTTTGAATTCCAACCAGTAGTTTTCAAGTTATGCCCCGGACAAGGAAAAGTAACAAAGGGCAATAACTCTGTAATTAGTCATGATAGAGTTATGGTTCTTGTGCACTGCACTTCCTCTCAATGTGCTTGACCATTGTATGTAGTTATATTGAATTCCAACCATTAGTTTTCAAGTTATGCTCCGGACAAGGAAAATGCAACGGACGTCTGGACCGACCGACCGACCGACCGACCGACCGCCCGACCGACCAACCGACCGACCGACCGACCGACCACCGGGTGACTCCTATATACCCCCCAAACTTCGTTTTTGGGGGTATAATTATGTTGTAATAAGTGATACAATACCATGAAATAATTATACATGGATGTTGTTGGTAAGTGTGAGATACATGATCCGATATGAAGTATATTTATATAGCACATAATGAATTGTTCTGGAACAAAATATTATAAAACATCATATAAATGTCCGGACTTAAAATCACTAATAGCTCTTTAAATATTTTTTGTCAAGATTTTTTTTTTTTTTAAATATCAAATTTATACAGGTCTTTGTTTTATTTATTGATATTTGAAATCCTTATGGAAAATGTGCCCATGGTAGACTAATCCACTTTAAACCTTGATAATTATGTAAAAAAACAACAAAAAAACAACTAAAAAAACACACGCACAAAATCCCTCTCAAAGAATAACTTTAAATAACAGTATATTGCTTTTTTAATTTATACTATAGTTTATACATTAAATACTAATTCTTAACAATGGAAAAAAAATGTAAATCACTATTATAGACAATTAATTGAAATTGTCAAAACTTTTTGAATTTGGATATAAAACACTGCTGAATTTACAGTATACTAATATACAACGAACTTATTTCATACAATCATGGTCTTATCAGAGGAAAAAATGTAGTTAATGTCTCTCCTTCAAATGTGGACAACTATCTTGTTTGTAAAAAGAAAAAATCAAAATAACATAAATAAAAATTAAATAATAATAATAATAAAAACCTACAAAAAAAAGTTGTGAATTGTGAAAATGCAATCAAAAAATTATTGTTCTGAAAAGAAAAAAGAAATGAATGATAGTAAATTTAAAAAAAATCACAAAAAAATCCTTTTCCATTGACTAAATGACTTGACCTCACAATAAACTGCACAATTTAATTTCATTATTTAAGAATAATTACAACTGGAAGCCATGTTTCACACAGGCACTTTTATGCTATATTACATGCATATACAATCATTTCATGATTTATACTATAAGCAGCAATATTCTATGAATTCAGCTCTTTTAAGAGTTACTTCCCTTCATTTAGTGATAAACTTCATGAAAAGTCAATATTTCCTATGCTATTGTTATTCAATAATGAGTGATAAAGTTTGAACAGACAATTCTCTCTATTTTCATTTCAACAGACTATTTATGAATGTTATTCTATTCATTACAGGTCTAACATCTCTAACTTAAAGGAGATAATTCTTTCAAATGCTCTAATTATGTAATATAGGGGAGATAATTTTTTTCAAATGCCTTTTTGCAAATCCAATGTATTGAACTTTCTGATTGGTTAAAATGCTGACTAGGGGGCGGGCATATTGAACAGTTTCCTACCCTCATCTCCATATTCGACATGTGTTGTCTTTACTTCCTGAAATAAAAATAAACCAATCAAATAAGCACAAAGTGAGTTTGGCAACAAAAACAACCAATATCCATATGAGAGGTGGCAATAATGTAAGATTTCAATTCAATTATCTATCTCATGTTATAAAATTTGTTATTCTTACTGTTCAAAAAAGCTACTAGGATTAAAACTAAATTGAGTCACTTAAGAAAAATACTTACATGAAAATTTGAGACATGTGTAAAACTAAGTGTACTAAAGAACTTTAAATCTGCAAATTCTTAATTTGAAAGCTGTTTTGAAGGGTTTTTGTTTTACCTTCTATCAACACAGTGTAGGTCATGTCAACTTTCCAGTTTAACTAGTAAAGGAAGACTGCATTGTGATTCTACTTAGGTGCCCGTTTGTGCCTGAAATAATGCACAGAGGGGCACCTGAGTAGAATGACAACGTTCCTTAAGCTAGCTGGATAGCTTACTCTCTTGAAAGAATCAAAAGTCCTTGGTAGAATTTGAATGCACAGTGGTGAGGAGCAAGTGGTTTGAAGGCAGCAACCTTAACCACTCCGCCACCGACACATCTTACCTTGAAGGTACAGAAGATTGAGTTTTACAAAGAAAATTCTTCACTTGCTTCCTTTGTTGTTTTGTGATCTAAACCAGGTGAGCCTAAAACCCCATTTAATGTTAATGGTCAAAGAGAAGTATCTGAAACCTAAATATTTATACCATCAGTCAATTAATGGAGGTTCTTAGAGACAGGGTAACCATGACGGGAATTAAGAAGAACAACTTGACAACCATAATGTTCCAACAAGGATTTTCAGTGATTTGAAAGAAAAAGAAGACAGAGAGTGTCATGGATGGAAGGACAGACAAGGCAGTGACCATATGACCTCCCTTCGAGGAACATAAAAATAATCTAGCACTAGACATACCAGTTATTACAGTATTTCCTTCATAATTGAATGCACAGCTAAATATTTCATCAGTATGACCCTCCAGTATTTGTTTACATTCCCCGTTCTCCGGGTCCCAGATACGTGCTGTCTTGTCAGAACTGGCCGTTAACACTGATGTACCTTGTGGATTAAATGTTATCTGCAAAAAAACATGACACCAGAACCATGAAGTTTATTTTCCTACACACTACAAAACTTTTTTTAATTTAAAGCAGCATGCCTTAAGTTTCATGCTAATTTTCATGAAAACTTGGAAAGTGTATTTAAAAGTAATATATTGTGAAGGGAATAATAACAAGAGGGCCATGGTGGCCCTAAATCGCTCAACTGAGATGGAATACTTGTTTATTTGGGTCTTTTAAAAGAAGATTTTTTTTTACTATATGCATGTAAGGAAAATCAATGACCCACTTGGCGGGGGCGAATTTTGACCCCTAGACAATTTTCTATCAAATAGGTAGTCACTCACTATAAAAGATATTTCATGCCAAAGTAGCCTTTTTTTGTTTTTTCCTATATAAATATAAGGAAAATCAATGAGCTTCTGGGGTGGGGCCAATTTTGACCCCAGGACTGTTACTTGTAAAAACTCACTAGAAGATGTTTCATGCCAAATATCTAAGCTTGAGCTCTTTGGGTATTTTAAAAGAAGATATTTTAATTTTTTTTTTCCGTTGCCATGGCAATCAGATTTTTGCATGGAATTACATTCTTTGAACAATTTTTAAAGGTAACCACCAAAGAAACATTCACGTGAAGTTTGGATGAAATTGGCAAGTCATTTAAAGTAAAAGTTTACGGACAAACTCCGGACATAAAGCGAACACAAAGCTAAAATCTCACTACACAATAAAATCTTTCTCGAGTATACAATTCTTTTCCAACAATACTTTGAATTTATTCATTTATATATTTTTGGTACTAAATGGTTGCTACTTACATGAAATAATATTAAGGATATGTAACTGGAACACACAAAAACTTAGAAAACTAGCGATTATTTTATGTTACCAAACTAGAAATGTGTCCATAGGACACTGATGCCCCCCACACGCCACTGTTCTGTCAATCTTATGACTCTAGGTCAAATATTTTTTGGACTTCATGTGCCACAAGTTGAAAACTAAAAATCAACAAAGGGCCATAATTCTGTTAAATTTGTTCGCAGCAAAAATTCCTTTCTTTACTACCATCTACACATTAAGATTGCTAATCCCTGGAAGTTTAAGCAAAATCTGCCATCCGGTTTAAGAGGAGTTGCGTTCACAAAATTTCTACAAAGTATATAATGAAAAAATCAACAAAGGGCCATAATTCTGTTAAATTTGGTTGCAGCAAAAATTCCTTCCTTTACTGCCATCAACACATTAAGGTTGTTCATCCATGGAAGTTTAAGCAAAATCTGCCATCCGGTTTAAGAGGAGTTGCATTCACAAAATTTCTACATAGTATATAGTGAAAAAATCAACAAAGGGCCATAATTCTGTTAAATTTGGTCGCAGCAAAAATTCCTTCCTTTACTGCCATCTACACCTTAAGGTTGTTCATCCCTGTAAGTTAAAGCAAAATCTGCCATCCTGTATATAAAGAGGTGGGTTCACAAAATTTCTACATAGTATATAGTGAAAAAATCAACAAAGGGCCATAATTCTCTTAAAATTGGTCGCAGCGAAAATTCCTTCCTTTACTACCATCTACACATTATGGTTGTTCATCCCTGGAAGTTTAAGCAAAATCTGCCATCCAGTTTAAGAGGAGTTGCGTTCACAAAATTTTACATAGTATATTGTGAAAAAATCAACAAAGGGCCAAAATTCTGTTAAATTTGGTCGCAGCAAAAATTCCTTTCTTAACTACCATCTACACATTAAGGTTGTTCATCCCTGTAAGTTTAAGCAAAATCTGCTATCCGGTTTAAGAGGAGTTGCGTTCACAAGATTTCAGGACGGACGGACTGATGGATGGACGGACGGACAGACGGACGGACAAGTGCAACGCTATATGCTCCCACATTGTGGGGGCATAAAAAGTGTTATAAACACTTCAACTGGTTGACTTTCTAAAAAAGGAAATTGATCCAAGACCTTGTATCTAAAATACAATTAATTTTGAAAATAATATATAAATAATATTTCCATATCATCATTACTTCAAACTACTTCTATATCTATTAATTGATCCAGTCTGAGCAAAAAAAAACCCAAAATAACCCAGTCACAAATATTCAATTTTTTTTTCAGAAATAAAGACAGTAGATATTAAAGTATCATAACTTAAAACTTACTTTAGAAATTTCACCTTCATGACCTTCAAACTTGGAAACAAGTGTATGAGTTGTAGCATTATAGCACCTTGCCGTCCCATCAGCGGACGCTGTCAATAAATATTGCCCCGTCATGTCAAACGCTACATCCAGTACTTCATCCTCATGGCCACGTAAAGTTCCCACACAAGTACCTATCAAGTACAATACAAGATATGTAAATACAAAGTCAAACAAAAGCTGTCCATAAGATTGGGTGCTTGAATTTTCTCAGTACTTGATAGGAGGGACAGGGGACATAACTCTGTACACAAGTAACATAGTATGTCTATTTTAGTTCCAGGAACAAATTCAGAGCTAATTTTAAACCAAACAAAATCAAAATTGTTAAAATAACTACATGTTCCAGTACTGAGCAACAAGTGTAAAGTTTCTTTCACATGGAAACAACAGCTAGGACCCTTATAGGGTTTAAACCAAAGTGGCTAGTTATCCTTAGTCTAATAGATCACTATTAACTGTTTGAAACATATGCTGCATGTCATAAAATTGCTTCTAAACCCTTAAAATAATAATTAACATTTCCAATGTGCTATCAAGAGGTGTGACGAAGGCAAATGAGTGTGACTAAAGTGTTGGAGCACCACAATAAATATTATATTCCGATATATATCCCAGTAGGCTGTTGAATGATTAAATGCTAATATCTTGCCTTTCACCTGCAGAAATGCACTCTAAAACACCTAATATACGATAATGAATATATATGTAAGAATTGGCAAAAAACAACAACAATATTTTTGTACTATGTACTCCAACACTGTAGTGAGTTTAATCCAGGGCAAATACCTACCATGATTGGTCTCCCATATTTTACAAGTTTTATCCATGGACCCTGTAGCTATCAGAGAACAATCATAATTAAACTGGGCACTACTTATTTCTGCCTTATGTCCGATCAATGTATGTAACCTCCTGGAAACAAAATTAATTAAGTTGGATATATACATGTATAAATAACATAATACAAAATCAATATATAGAATTTATATCATATAATGAATATATTGATCTTTACCAGTACAATAATTCAAACTGTGATACTGTAACCTCCAAAGAATCTGCAGAAAATTGCATGGCCTATGAGAGAAGCTGCATATGACAATGACAACCTTTTTTAAAACACCAACCAAACCAGTCCTATGGTATGAAAGTGCTTTCAATGAAACAGTCAGTAAACATGGCGAAAGAACAAACAGGACAGCTGAGTGCTTTACCAAAATATTTCAGGCCACAGAAAAGGATGTTCATAATGAGGGATAAGAAAAATGAGCCGCGTCATGACAAAACCAACATAATGGGTTTGCGACCAGCATGGATCCAGACCAGCCTTTGCCTCTGCGCAGTCTGATCAGGATCCATAGTGTTTGTTATCAGTTTCTAGAGTTTGTAAGCGAACAGCATGGATCCTGATCAGACTGCGCGGATGCGCAGGCTGGTCTGGATCCATGCTGGTCGCAAATGCATTACATTGGTTTTTTTGTGACGCGGCTCAAATGTATAAAACATGATGATATACCTTCCAGTGATCACCTCCCACACCATCACAGTGTGATCAAATGATCCGGTGATCAATTGTGAACCAGATGAATTGAAAGAAAGGGAGATAATCTCAGCAGAGTGGCCCTGAAAAAACATACACCATCAATACATATAACATGAAATAAATGACAAAAAAATGTTCATTACAAGACATGATAACTTGAATCATTTCTGTGTTTTTTGACTTGTTAAGGTCATATAACAAGTTTTCAGCAATACTTTAAATCTAGCCCTTTCGTGTATTATTTCAGGCACAAGAAGACACATATTTTCATTGACATGCCTATATTGTAAGGCTAACATGACATCAAGTAAAATTTCAAATACACTAGTAAAACTATTGTTTTCATTAAATGTCATTATTTCAGTCCTGAGCTATGGTTTATGTGATATAAAAAAAAATCTTTTTCATATAATAAGTTCACACTTAAGTATTTAGTTAGTATTATAATATTTCATATACATAAAATCTTACATTAAGGGACGCGACCTCCTGTCCAGTCTGTATATCCCATAGTTTGGCAGTGGTGTCCATACTTCCAGTAGCTATCATTGTACTAGGTGGATTAAAACTTAAACATACCTACAACACAAACAAATTGATATCAACAATTTTCCAATGTGCATATTAAAGTTGGAAATGTTGTGATGCATAATTCATCGTTCACATACTTTGTAAATATCAGTCCGGCCTATTGCCTTCATGATTATAATAACTGCATATTTAACTTTGACCGTTCAATATTACACAACCCATACATGAAATACTAATATCTATTTCTTAACTTTTTTTTTCCAAATAATGAAAATGTTACTTACAATTTCTGCTGTATGCCCTCTGAATGTATGATAACATTTGCCAGATTCAAAACTCCATAATTTACATGTCTTATCAAATGATCCAGTTGCAATTTTATCACTACAAATATACAAACATAAAAATGTTTACATATCTTGAAGATTTCTTATACATACAGTACAATAAACTGGTCAACATTCTATTACTTTCTTTTTTATCTGTACACAGCATCACAAAACATGTATGTGTTATTGGACAATAATTTATGAAGATACAGAATATATGTTATATAGAGTGTTATATTCACTTTTACTTACCCATATGGATTATTAAAGGCTATTGCATAAACTACATTTCTATGTCCCTCTAAGGTGTGTAACTCTTCCCCTGATGCTGTGTCCCATATTTTACATGTTCGGTCATAACTTCCTGTGATGAAACTGAAAAAACAAATTATTCATTTAACCTTTAACCTGAACTGAAAGTGGCCAGCCTTTACCACCAGTATAGAGACCAGCCTGCATGTCTATGTCAGGCCAGGCTCTATACTGCTGGTGGTTTACTTTATGTATTTTCATATAAATATTTTGAATGATCAAAAAAATAAGCTTGGCAAATCCACAATTCAGAAGATTATCTGTTAATGATCATAACAGATACTATCCTACATGTATCAAAGAATTTATTTTGTTTCAACCAAAAATATCTACATATCTAATAAGGTTGAGTGTCTTTACATACTTACTAGAATAAGAATTATATTAGAAAACATAATTTCCAAAAGCTGTTAATTAAAAGAACTTCACATTACCTTGATCCTGATTTATTGAATGCAACATTTGTGAGAGGCAATATATGTGCTCTAAGAACCTGAAACAAGTAACATTTCAAATGCTTATTTCAATGTCAAAACAAAGTTGGTTTTATATTAAAATGTCGGAATAAATGTAAATCTGCCTTGAGTTAAACCCCAAATGTAATACATGTATAATATATCATAACATTTTAAAACTTTCAACCCTGTTTTATTGTCCACATTTTGACAATTATTGTCTTTATGAAAAATAAAAATAAATAAAAAAAACATTTGTTACCTAGATTTAATAACTGGTAACATATACTATGTATAGTAAAAAGAAGAAACTTACTTTGAACAAGTAAAAATGGTGTTCATCTTTTATGGCAAGCTTTTCCTGCAGTCCTGCTTAAAGTTAAGGATATAAAGTATTTCACTTTCCTGGAACATTTCAAGGTTCTTTGTCTTCTTTTATCTTAATTTAATTGAGACTGAGATTTATCTTAGAATATTATTTAAAGAGATAAATGGCAGAGTGGTTAAGGTCACTAACTTCCGTAAACTTGACATCCAACCTAAGTAGGTTCAAATCCTGATAGTGTCTGAATTCTATTATGTGAGGAAGTTATCCAGGTAGTTAATGGATGGTTGGCAATTCTATTCTAGTACTTGCTTGTGCCTGAAATAATGTCATGGACTCGTGTAAGTTCAGAATTTTGGGAAAATTGCATAATGTTAAAGACAATTTCTATTGGGAAGAGGCCTTTCATAGACCTCTGTCAAGTTAGGTGAAAATCACTAACTACTAGGCAAAACCTTCCACAAATAAACAAAGGGGCAAAACTATCAAACATATATGCAAGCACTATTCAACCCTGGAACTATGCACAGACAAAAATATGATAAAGGATACGTCCGATGAGTTTTCTAACTTGTTCTGTTTTAGAGGCTGTAATTAAAGCCTCTTTCCTGGCAATCTCATCGACAACAGCATCAACATCAGTCCTGAAATAAAAACGTTATTATGTGTACAACAGTTAACACCATTACTCATACAACAAATTACCACCATTGTGACCCAAAATTGTTTCGGTAAATATTTCACAAGTACCGTATATGGCGGTAAAATATTATTGACCTGAAGAGCTAACAAAATAAGTACAAAATGATGATAAAAGTTCTTTTTTTTAACTGTACATGGCTTTTCTTTCACAGGCTGGAGAAGCAGACCTCCTTTTTGGGGAAAACTGCATGATTTTAAAGAATTCTTCTTTGGGGAAACTGCCTTTAAATGACCGCATTAATAAAAGGAAAAAAAGTCCTGCTGTAAGAACTTACTCTGGTTTCAAATCCAGCAAGTCTATTGATTTTGTTTTTAGATTTCCACCTTGTTCATACTCAAGAATGATTCCTGAAAATAAAAGTCATAACAATTTTTAAGACAATTATAAAAATGTTTAGCTTCAGTATTCAGAGGCAGTTAGCAGACACCCTTGAGAGTGAAAGGAAGAAGCATAGAAAACTCCCTCAGAAAGAGACAGGAATTTCATTTGTTCGCGAGGGCCAAGTTAGATCTACTGGAGCACAAAAGAGTGGGGTCCTGCAGTCATCAAAGACCTTGGTGATGAGAGTAGACCTGGAAAAGCGACTTGTTTTCCCAGAATTGGTCCAGACAACTCTGCGACCAGACATAGTATTGTGGGCCCCCCAGGACAAGAAGATTGTGCTCATTGAACTGACGGTACCTTGGGAACATTAAATTTAGTGACTAGCACTAGTGGCAGTCCTTAGCAGTGTTTAATAATTTAGTAGCAAGCTAAAAGAGCAGCTCTCAAAGCGAGCTTTACGGTAACGCCAGTACCTGCTACAGAATAATGGTTTCAAAAAATTTCGCCGGAAGCACTGTAAAATCATGGGAAATCGACACATCTCAAGTTCTCAACTTTTCGAATTACAAGATAATGATAAAAGCCGGGGAATTTGATTGAAAATGGATTCGTAGCCTGGTCTCCTGCGCACTTCTATGGGTACCATAATAGGACTTGGAACCAGAATAAACAGAAGCTGTGCATAAAATATCGAATCATCAATGGCAGTATTAAAATGGAAAATGTAAAATATGGTGTGGAGTGAATTGTACGGCCAAAAGTGTGCAGTTCTAAGTGGACTGAAAACATAAAATGTGTTACATTATAATATACTTGAGGCTTTGCATTCTATTCTATTTTCTATTCTACATCATACTGCTTTAAGATCGTTTTCGATCACTCTAAGCAGGTATACATTGTATACATTTAAGAAACAGCTTTAAGATACAAGGGAATCCGGGAACCAGTCCCTAGCTCTTATTGAATAGACCCCTTGGTTCTTTTACATGCCCAGTGTATAGCACTGATACATGCGAGGATTACCTGGATTTCTTACCAGTACACCTCTAGGTAGGTGGGAAACACTGAAAGTGTCTCTGAAATATCCCAAGGGTGTAACCCAGGATCGAACCCGGGACCTCAGGAGTGATAGTCAGTGGTTTAACCAACTGAGCTATCGCGCCACCTCATTATTCATATTAATACAAGAGGTTGAACAGCTAGACCACTTCTTGATTACATTATTGGGTAGATGATCACCACGATGGTTAACAGCTAACCAGGCAGCAAGGTTCTAGAATTTGACTATACTAGAAATATCAATAACTTGCTTCTTTGCCTCGTAGACATACTCATAGCTGATCAAAAACTTAAAAATATCTTACAAATGCGTCTAAATTCTCTAAGTTCTAGTTAAGATTGACAAAAAAAAAGAAAACACCGGCAATGGTTTTAATTAAAATGATGTATTAGTTAATTTCAAATGACAAAATAGACTTTATATGACTTATATCGTATTTTTTGAAAATGCAAGACAAAACATGTGTGAAATATTTCATGGTTCTGCACTTGAATCCAGATTACTTGTAGCATTTCATACAGCGAGATTTGAACTAAAATGCCCATAGAAAAAAATTAAAATGGTTAAAGTGTTTTTCTTACCTGGGGGATAATACCTTAGCAGAAATCGCTTTAATTTCATGTTGAAGTTTGACTGTTTGTCAGCAGAAAAATCTTAATGGCGGAGCGTCCTGGACTTCAGGGGCAAGTAACTCTTAACGACAACAAGAGTACTAAAAGACGTTCATCATTGCCGTTCCTATCCTTATTACCTCTGGTTGTTTTTTTTGCGATCGTTCTGAACTTTTAACAGTCTTTTAGTTTTGCTTGAAAGATGAATGTTTTTAAATTATGAAAATAACACTTTTTATTTAGCTTGTAAAAGAATGAGAAATGATGGCAACCCTTTAACCCTTTCTGTTGTATGTTACACATGTATATTATTAGAGACTTTTATATCTCTGTAATATTATTATCTACTTGTTGTGGATAAAGTCGACTTTAGTTTTTATTGTTGTTTTTTGTTGTTAGTTTAAACAATATTTTATTTCTATTTTACAACATAAATATATACAGTAAGCATATACAATCACACTGATATATTTCGTGGATTGGAAAACAAGTCAAATGTGACTTATGTAAATTTCTTTCCACATATAATGTACTTGCAATAAAAAATATGCACATATTTGGTTCGAATTATACAGAAAAGGGAAATCAGATAAATAATTAAAATGAAAAAATTTGTTAGAACATTATTATCTTGTGTAGTCGAATAAGAAAAATTCTGTTTCAAGATTATTTCATAATATTGGGAGATTACTATAAAATATTGTTTTTAACTAGTATTCAATTTAAGTAAGTTTTTTCAAATGATTTTGTTTAGAATGTTTCGAAAAAAAGAGACTAAAGTATTTAAATGAAGTTTTGAATTTAGATAAAGAATTGAAAATATATGTCAGCGCACAATATTATCGGGAAGTGATGGACAGAAAAAAGTTGATATTAGTTAGTAAAACGTTTGGAAGCTAGGATAAACTGTTGTACTTTAAGAATGATTTTTTCGTTCGTGTTAAAGGTCCGGCGCTCGTCTCCGTACAAGAGATTGTTAAGTGTCAGGGGACATGGAAGGGGACGTAAATATATGCTTCTGATGATATCATAACGAGGGCATGAAAAGAAAAAGTGATGCACTGTCTCTATTTCGCCACATAGACATAATGGAGACTGGATAAAAGACTTTCTATGAATTAAGGTCAAAGTTCAGGGAGCTACAATCTAAACGAAGACGTGCGTGCAATATTTGGCCTATACGACTTCCTACATTAAATAAAGGGGAGGCTTTTGTTTTGTTTTTATTAAGGCACCGTTTAAAGGCAGCAACAGAAGATGAGTTTCTTGTATCTACAGGTAGTAAGTTCCATTCTCTTATTGCAGAAGGAAGAAATGATGAGCTATATATTTGTGTCCTTGAGTTTACTTGTCTGTGATTTCTGAGGTGGTAGGACTCGTTGTGTTGGGGTATCAGATCAGAGAGATAGTTTGGAGTAATTCCATTGTACATTTTAAAGAATAAAACTAGTTTATGTTGTTTGCACCTTTGGGCAAGGGTATCCCATTTAAGGTCGTTAAGTAATTTACTTACATTGCATAATTTTGTTGCACCTGTTACTATTCTTGCTGCCTCGTTTTGAACTGCTTCAATTTCATTTTTTAACATGTTCGAGGAGTTATCCCATGTAACATCGGCGTACTCAAGGATAGGGCGGATAAAAGACATATACATTCTTTCCAAGCTTGAACGATTGAGGAGAAATTTCAGTGATCTCATGATGCCTACTCTCTGCCAAGCTTTTCGCAGTATTATAGATATATGGGTATCCCATTTTACATTTTCAGAAAGGGTAACACCAAGATGTGTGTGATTTTGTACACGTTTGATTGGAATTCCATTCATTTGAATTGGGGGATGGTTTACTTGTTTTATTTTTCTTGAAAATATCATGGATTCTGTTTTGGACGGATTAAAAGTAACCAGCCAAGCCTTTGACCATTCATGAATTTTTTGAAGGTCGTCATTTAAATGCTTGGCTGCATCTATGGGATTCTCTACAATGATATAAAGGCTCGTGTCGTCTGCAAAAAGTCGTATGCTCGAATTTACATCGTCAACGATATCGTTTATATATATCAAGAAAAGCAGAGGTCCGAGGATCGAGCCCTGGGGTACGCCGGCATTAATTGATGACCAGTTAGAAGAACAATTAGCGTATACAACGCGTTGTTTGCGATTAGAGAGATAGGAAGTGAACCAGTTAAGAATGGAGCCGTTTATTCCAATTGAGGTAAGCTTATGTAAGAGACCTCGATGCCATACTCGGTCGAATGCTTTAGAGATATCGCAAAACACAGCGCGAACCTCCAAGCCTTCGTCAAGAGCTTTGCAAATATCGTTATATATGTATGTAATTTGATTAATGGTGGAGTCACCTTTGATGAAACCGGATTGATAAGACGTGAGGAGGTTGTTGGTAATAATATAGTTGTACAAATATTTGTGAATACACCTCTCCATTAGTTTACCTATACAGCTTAAAAGAGAAATGGGTCGGTACATGTAGTTCGAAGGCTTAGATGGGTCATTCTTTTTAAATATAGCAGTGACATTGGCTATTTTCCAGGAGGTAGGAAAGATACATTTTGAAAGTAATATGTTGAAAAAGTCAGCCAAAGGTTTAGACAGAACAGTAGATCCTTCTCTTAGTAATCGGGGATAAATAAGATCTGGGTCACAGGCTTTCGACGGGTCGATTAACGAGATAGCATCTTTGACATCTTCTTCTGTAATTGTAATTTGGGGAGGAGATGAATTTGTATGCAAATTCAGATTTGGGAGTTGTGTGTTTTGACTATCAATGTTTGATTGTGTACAAAAGAAATTATTTAGTAGGTCTACCTTCTCTTTGTCAGTATTTGCAGAAATTCCGTTATCAAGGAGGACTGGGATTGCTGGTTTTGATTGTTTTTGTGTGAAAGATTTTGTCAGTTTAAACCAGTTTTTCGTTGAAGTATTTGATGAGTTTATTTGTTTTTTGTTGTTGTTTCTGTTTGTTTCTTTGTTGTTTTTGTGGGTTTTTTTTGGTGGCTTTTTCTTGGTTGATATATTATCATCATCATCATCATCATCATCATCATCATCATTATCATCATCATCATTTCATCGTTTTCATTCCCTTTTCAATACTTATCAAAATCTGTGTTCTATGTCCTCATGGAAGAAAATCAACAAACTCCCTACTGTCATCCATTGAATCCAAAAATAGTTTCTACCTCATGTGTCCCTTCAAAAATATAGAGTTCTAAATCATCTCTAACCTAGTTAACCAAAAGCATAAAACGACAAATATGAAAGAGAAACAAGAAAAATAGCAGTAGCCCCGGTGTAAAACAACAATACAAGCATTTCAGAAACAATGTTAAAAGTGAAATTTAAAAAAGTCCACATAAACTTTTTAAAATATGTTCTTGAAACCCAGGCACATGATCCTCGATCAGATCAAAATTTCTGCCGTAATTTAAAGACCTTTTAGTAATGAAATGTGCTAAACAGGACACGCAAGGTATCGCTTCACTGTTGGAAAATGATAAACTTATCACAGATAGCACGGGTCAGACAAATGTTTTAAATCGCCAATTTCAGTCAGTTTTACTCAAACAAGTCCTTAAAAACTGAGCCAACTATGCTTGATGAATACAAAGACAAACCCTGCTAAGATACCTATTTAAGCCTATCTACCACTAAAATCTCCTTTGGTGTAAGTAGCGTCCAAAAGCTTTTAACCACTTTCTAGACTGACAAAACTTGCGACCCTGGTAATTTAAAACCAATATTCTTGAAAAAATCTAAGTCACTGGTCACCCAAAATTTCCAAAAGTCGTTAGATACAGGCACTTTTCCTTCCGACTGGACAAAAGCGAACGTCACCCCCCTTTTAAAAAAAGACGATAAAATAACATGGCAAACTACAGATCAATTTCCTTGACTTGTTGTCTTTGTAAATTTATGGAACACATTGTCGCACCAAACATTACACAGCAATTTAAGGTCAACAATATTGTATTTTACCTACAACATGGATTCAGGTAAAAAAAGTCTTGTGAAACAATTTTAGGACTTGTTGGGGATTTATTAAGAAACTTAATTCAAGGTCAACTAACAGATTAAATACTCCTCGAATTGTCAAAAGCATTTTATAAGGTTAATCCCTTAAAACTTCTCTAGAAATTACATCAGCATGACATCCAAGACTGCACACTACAGTGGGTCAATTCCTTTCTCATAGGCCGCCTACAATCTGTTTTAGTCAATGGTGATAAGTCAGATGAAGTATCCGTTACATCAGGTGTCCCACAGGGCTCTATCCTTGGCTCACTTCTTTTCTTATGCTACATAAACGACCTGCCTGAAAGCATAGTTTCACACGTCCGGTTATTTACTGCTGACACTGCTGTATATATTAAAGTTAACATCAGTAAACAATAGCATGCATGTGTATTTTGCAATATGATTTAAATAGGTTACAACAGCGGGAGAACAAACTGGGAAATGGAATTCAACCCACCTAAATGTGCAGTTATAAACATGACCAGTTAACGGCAGTGGCGTTCTCCTGGAAACAGAAGGGGTGATGCCAGGCGACTGATGTGCGGACAATGCCTTCTTATGTTACAACTCATACCCAGCTCACTAGACACAGACATCTCCTTTCTTATAGACAAATATATACTCCATGTATCATACATAAGTTCTCTTTTTTACCCAGCAACCATCATACTCTGGAATTCTCTGCCGACCAATGTTGTACAAGCCTCTACCCTGGATCAGTTAAGGCAAAGGGTAACTTAATTGTGCCATGGGTTCTGAGCGTACAGGCTGTTTTTAACTGTATACCTTACCTCATCTCATTTTCAAATAACACTGTCAAATTGATTCGAATTTCTCGTTAATACATATATTCTATATTACTTTTTCTGTCTGTACATTTTTTCTTTTAATATCTTGCACTGACGTGCATGTACCCAAAATACTCGAACGGATGTGATACAGTATCTACAGATAAATAGAAAGAAAGTTTTGAACCATTGTTGAGTTTGTTAACAAAAAGATTGGTTGAAATGAAGTTAACTGTCAAATTCAATTAATTTTCATGAATTTGGTATGTAAAATTTCAATTCGTAATAAGTTCGACATCATTATGAAAAATGGTGGAGGAGCTCCACCTGAATTTTAAAGGACCATTTTACGTGATAATCTTTAACCGCATTTTGATTGATCGCGACACAAACCCAATTCAGTTCTGCGTCAGTAAAATAGAGAAAAACAGAATCCATACAGAAAGCCCAACACAACACAGCAAAATTGAAAATGTAGCTGGCTCTGTTTGATTGAGTACAAAAGTAAAACCTACTTTGTTGAGACGCGGAATATGACTTTATACGTAAAATGGCGCGGAATGATAATTTGTCATTGACATTTGCCATATCTCATAGAAGACACACTAAGACTAATTAAAGAGTTCGACGAATTAGGCCTTAAATGCATTCAGTGAATGGAAAACTGAATTTCCAACGTCTTTATTATTATTATAATTATCATCATTATTATCATTATTATTATCTTCATCATTATTACTATCATTAATATTATTATTATTATAATTATTATTATTATTATTATTATTATCATTATCATTATCATCATCATCATCATCATCATCATCATCATTATCAATTATTATTATTGTTGTTGTTGTTGTTATTATTATTAAATATTATCATTATTATTATTATTATTATATCATTCTACACCTTAAAAAAGTTAAATCCATGTATTTGACCTAACTTAATGATATAGCTAAATGGTACCTCTTATTAAGATAATCATTACCATGACAACTGAGCAAAATTGCAGACACTATTATTTTCTACAATATATATAACATAAAATTATTTCATCCCATTATATATATATATGAATTATTAACAATTATATACAAAAGTGTTTCATAAAATTTTGAAATCGAGTATCACTATTTCTTCACAATAAACATGTCGCGCGAGTTTAATTTCATTGAGAGAGAAAGTGACTTTTGAAATGTTACTATAATCATCGAGGGCACTTTAGTAATCAGAAATAATAGAAACTAGCATTATTTACAACCAATCTCATTAGTTGCGGCGATACAAAGACATTTTGTTGTAATAAAAGTTAGTTTTAATCTTACTTTTCTGAAATTAAAGAAAATATATCCTTTACGGGCATGTGGAAAATCAGAATTTTCAGCACAATCCTCATACTGATATTGTTCCAATATACCTAAAATTTTCAATACGATATTTTTCATAGTAACGGATGCTGCATTTCGCGCATGCGCATTCTGCGAAGGGCTTCCAAAAAAAAAAAAAAAAAAAAAAGAAAAGAAGAAAATTTACCAAATTGACGCTTACTAAAGAAGTAAGGGGCGGAGTTGATCGAAATCTTGTAATATGTGACATAACATTTCGGCGACATGTGATAAAGATGGCACGATGTTTTATTTCAAAATGACTGCCAAAAACCGCTTGTCCTGAAAGATTTTTCAGTTGTTCCAACGTTTAAACTTTTCACATATAAATGCATTATAAATATGTTCATTTCTAAACGATAACCAACCCTTTAGGGGTTTTCAATGTCTCAACGATTGGGCTAGGATTATGGATATCAGCCTTCCAAGCTATAAAGAAACAACTTTACGAGCACAACTTGTAAGAAAGTTTCCAAAATGGCGCTCGCGCGAACCGGAAAGTATCATTTTCTTTTCGCTTTCATTTGGAACGTGTTGAACGAATTCGATTAGCAAAATATCTCTCAAAGTACCGGTATTCAAAAAGTCGTTGGGCATATTCTCGATGTGCCATTATTTTTTCAAGAGGCGAAATGACGTCATGACTGACCAGAAGCACTAAAATGTGATTAATATCGCCAAATCACAATTTAGCAGGCAAAAAATGCGCTAAATTTTATACATATGTTTGTTCATATACAAAGTATAAAAAGAAACATTATTTCAAAATGCAACTTTAAGATGATATTTGATAAATTATCATAATTCATCTGCCTAACCTCTTGCAGTTTTTTTGCATGACTTTCGTCATGTTCAAACGTGATGTCGATAAAACTATTTACGAAATAAAAATCCTATTATCTATTTTCATACTTAAAAAACTTCAGTGTTCAAACCCAGGAAACTGTTTACAATTTTTGTACAATTTCCATGTTGATACAAACTAAAAGAGAAATTGATTAGCCATAATTGGTTTTAGAAGCGGATACACTCAGACAAATTGCAAGTTAATTTTCGAACTAAGAAAACATTTGACTTTATTTCTGAGATTGAATTTCCCATGGATTAAAAGAGACACAGGTATTTCAATTAAACAAAGATGTTGGCTAACTATAGAAAATGAAAAGCAGTTATAATTGATTCTTAAACAATTCCCAGAGCTCTTGTTCAGCGGATCGATTAACAGCGGAAATAAAAATACTCTTCATAAATTGATTTTATCATATTTGGTACGCACGATTGTTGTATTTATTAATATTTGACGCATTTTAAAATCATTAGTCGTTCAATTATCATATGTTAGAAATCCACTGGGTCTGATTTTAAGACAGCTATAAAAATTACATTTCTTTTGATTTCTGGCATCGAATGCTGTCTTATGACACACGAATGAATTAAAAGGCTCGGCGAGTTTTCTTATTTGATATTTGAGATTTAGTATCGCCAGGCGTGATATTAAACATAATAATTATCTGATACATTTTAATTGTAATGAAGTGTTAAAATATTGAATTACAATGAGCGCCATTTACACACGTGATGATTTCAAAACAACTAGTTCTGTATTATTTCACATTACATGAAATAAAGAAAATATTTGTATCAAAGTAAGGCGACCGTACCAATATTCATAGAGTGACGACGAATTTTATCGCCTGTTATGAAAAATTCACGAAAAATATTCTCGCCCTCACATAAAGAATCATGATAATTTGTACTATTCACATAAATAATCACAATGATTTTTCCAGACATCACATACTAGTATATAATCACAAATAATTTCCTCCCTTTTAATAAATAATCAGTATCCCCTCCCTTTCTATTATGAAAGTCATCGCCCTTTATAAAGAATGGCGAATAAATTCCTCACCTCTCATATTTATTATGAAAATTTCCCCCTTCCCTCTCATATTGAAATACGAAGAACGCCACTAAGACCTTTCGTTGAGAATAATAATGAAGTATTCACTTCTTAACGCCCCTTACGCTAATCTTAAATCAATCTTGCCTTCAACATTAAATCTTGATTCCCCAACCCTACCACCATCCCCGCTTAAAAAGAATGGGCATTTACCTCCAAATAATCACAGAACTCTCTCCCATCTAAATTCTCATTAAGGTTTTTCTTCCCCTCTCATAGAAACGTTTTTTCCATTACCAACTAAAGCACGGTTTTATGTAGGGGCACTTGCAAGAGCTCGAGCTCGTGCAACAGTATCTCGACATCTTTACTTTTGGACTTGTTTAAAATGCGATGCATTCCCTACAGTGAAAATTGAGGGCGTTTGCCTATATGTGCAAAATGAACCTTCAAAATTGCATTAATTTGCATTAAAACTTCAAAGATTAATTTTCTTAAATGATTTCCTTTTCAGAGGTAAATTAGCTTTAGCATCGCTTTGTTGATAATATATAAAGTATATTCTACATGATTTGGCATGTTACTTAGCTAAGTTTCATTTATGTTATTAATGTAGTTAACTATATTTTGTAAATCGCTTTAAGTCAAAATCTACTCTTTTTTGTTATGAATCAGTTTTGCTTTAAATTTGGCACAGTCAATTCAAAGTTTAATAGAATTTCATTATCAAAGCGCACCCACTGAGCTACCAACAGTGTCGAAGCTGGCCTGGTTGTATACTGGTGACAGGACCTGTAACTCACTTCCGGGCTCACCAGGTTAAGCTTGACGGCCTGCCCAGGAACGCTGCGGTGGCTGAAATGTGCTCTGGTAAATTCAATGTGGCTTACTGTCGTGATCTGGAGTGAAAACTACCAACAACACCAGGTTAAGGGATAGCAGTTCTTGCTTCATTGTTTGAACATCACCCCTACCAGTTCGAACTTTAACCAGACGACTCCGCGTGCCTTTCCTCAAGTTGTGTTTATGTAGTGTCTCTAAACTAAATAGCGCGTATTTAATTTAATAACTTTAAACTAAATTGCATGTAAATGAAAATTTACTTAATAACAAATTATATTTACCGCTATATATCATTATAACTGGTGGTAAGGTATAGTAGAACCGAGTAATTAGTAAGCTACAGAAGCAGGGAAGGCGTTAACTCTGCTTGTATGTGGCTGATCTGCCTTACATCTATTTAATTGGCCCTAATAATCTACGATAGCAGTCAACTGACAGACATACGACTTTCTTAAGCAGAATTGACAGATATCATGTCCAAGAATTGAAATAAAACTATTTCGTTACTCGGCGCGCCAATCAGCAGCCAATTTGGACCAATAAGCGTCCAACCTCCTGTATTTATCCAATTTTCACCATCTATTAAAAACGAGTAATGAGTGAATAACAACCGCCCACCATTAGCGGCAATGATCAAACGATTATAAATTAATCAAATATAAATGAGGGAGGCTTATCTAATTATGGCACAAGCATTGCAGATTAGTTTGAAAAGTTGAGCTCTGCACTTTGATGAAACTTTAAGATTCTACCAGTATATTGCATTTAATATTAAAACAGCGTAATTTTTGTGTGCACAAGATGTCGGAAATAAAAAGACTGTCTTATGACATTGAGTCCCTGATTGGGCCGAGATCACAGACGGAAAACGAAGAAAAGGGTAAGAGTTTATTTTCATAATTATTTTGAATAGTATTTGGAACTTGTAACTAAACAACATTGCCAAGTCTAATAGGGATTATGTATGTATTTTTTTGAATTTATGTAGTAACAACAACTGTAAACAACAGTATATTGATGACTTTGAGCAGCATTTTTCATTTTATTGTTGTAAAACAAAAAAAAACATAAACTAAAACAGATTCAGAATTAATCGATATTTTATACAAATCATTAGAAATGTGTGTTTCATGGTTTTTCGTTTTTTTTTAATATTTATTATTATTATTATTACTATTATTATTATTATTATTATTATTATTATTATTATTATTATTATTATTATTATTATAATTATTATTAAATAAAAACCGAAAAAATAATCACTGATTATTTTAAAGTACCTCTTGTTAAAATTAGATAGTAATTTAAGAGATACATATTGCACAATATTTATATTTGACTAGGTCCGATTAGGTGTAGGTATTGGGTACAAATCGCTCATATGCATTCCAGAAGACGAACATGTACATATAAATGTAGATAGATTCAGCCCTTATTTCACTTTCTTATCTGTAAAAAAAATCAGTTTTTTAATTTTGGTATAAACGAAGTACTTATAACATCATTTATTAATATCAAAATGTTATAACGTCGTCTCTTTGTTGAAAGAAGAAAACGTTTCCTACAGTTATGTAAGGGAATATTTAGTACGGGTAGGCAGGGAGGTGCACCGACTTGCACATAGAATTGTTGAAATATTATTAATTTAAAAGAACCTAGACGTATGTATTAGTCAGGATGGCCGAGCGGTCTAAGGCGCTGCGTTCAGGTCGCAGTCGGGTTCTCCCGGCGTGGGTTCGAATCCCACTTCTGACATAACTTTTTAGGGAACCCTCGATTCTTTTTTTTTACAATTTCCACCGATCAAAAATTTTAATGACAAATATCCTTTATAAATCTAACGAACACACCGATAATATGTCAACATTTTTTCAAAGTAAATATTCTTAATTAATCGCAGACCGGTTTCCCTTTTCGGCGCTTTCATCTCTTTGGCGTTTTAAGTGCTCTAAATGGTTAAATCAAATTGTTTAATGTATGTAGGAAGGTAAATTGAACGGTTTTATTATGATTCGCCATTGTTTATCGATCATTAATTAAAACCAATGTAGATTTTACAAGTTCATGAGCAGGAAAACACAAAAGATGTTTATTTTGTTTTATATTTTCAAAATATTGAGCTTGATGGGTATAATTATTACACTTCCGGTACCGACATTGCATACATTCTAAAAAGCGCCCATTTCTATAGTATGTTTATTTATCAAATTAGTTTAAATACACGTGTCTTTTCATTAAAAAAAAGTTGTACATATTATGTAAAAATTACGAAGATTGCGATTTTTATCAAAATTCTTTCTTTGAAATATCCAACGTGCGATAATTTCCTTTATGTTATTTGGAAGACCTTCTGTCCGTTTAGGTAAAATGGTAGAGCGTTGGAATGTGAATTGTGCGGCCAGGGTTCGAACTTGTTGTTATTGATAGTAACTATTATTGAGAATGAAATCCTATACAGTTTCTACGGTCATTCACACTGTATACCTGCTCATGTTTAGAAGTAATATGTACAGAAGTATCTAGTGAAGGCACTAGTACTGACAGGAAAGCGGTGGTCGGACTGTGCTATGCTAAATTCCAAGTGACCGACTGCCGTGATCTGAAGGATAAACTACATGTACAAAAACCACCACATATACATGTAGATATTCAGTGTAGAAGCTGTTTGTCATATGCTTTTCTCAATAGAACTTCTAGGTCACTTAATACATTTCCCGAACACACGCACCTGCTTTAAGATATAGGCGGAGAAACTCTTGTTTCTTCTTTTTACATATTTCGCTGAAGGGAAAACAGGCTGAATAATTCATTTGATAAACGTCCATTAATTTGTCTAAATCCTGATTCAATTTTCTTCTATTGTTTTCCTATAATGCCGCTAATGGACATTTTATCACATTCCTTCCCCCGTCTTCTGGCTTTATATTGGTTAAGGCAGCTGCCTCACCGGTAAAAGATGTCAAGAAAATATAAAAATGCGCGCGCTAATTTGAAACATATTAACGCATTTATTTTCGACTTCTGTCGGGAAACTTGTAATATAATTTATATATTATGTCATTTGTTGCTTTATGTATAAAATGTTTATCTAAAAAGGATATTTTCCAAATTAAATTACGCTTTTATTAAGTGTCACTAGAGGAAACAAACCGCTATTTAAATTGGTTTGGTTTAAACATATGTATTTAAGCTCGATTGCGAAACAAGTTCTTGCAACTTATATTAATCACTTTCGAGTCTGCTTCCTGGAACCAACCAGTACTGGTGTCATATGAAGAAACATGGCCGTGACCCGAGTAGGGCTCGAACCCATGATTTAAATTAATATGCAAAAGGAATGCAAATACAGAAAGATCCCATTTTATCCCCCTTTTTTACGGGGATGGGGGAAGTGCTTCTTTGCGCGTGCGAGGCAAGTTATTGCGACCCGTTCTGGCAAGATACTAGTATATGAAAACCCAAAGTACGTATATGTGTTTGATGGATATAATATTTATATATTTAGTAAAACACGAAAAGCAAGATGGTGCATCTATGTGGATATAATTTAATTAATATTCTATGTTATGTGTGCATTTTTTAAAACTTTTTAATGATCAGTGCTTCGTTAGTGGTTAACTGTCAGCTACTATATCTGTGAATATTCAGTTGCCATTAGGTAATCTACAAATATAAACAACAACAACAATTTACGAACAGAATAAATAAATAAATACAAAGAAAGAAAGAAAGAAAGAAAGAAAGAAAGAAAGAAAGAAAGAAAGAAGAAAGATAGAAAAGAAAGAAACAACAAACAAAACTAAACTAAACTAAACAAACAAACAAACAAACAAACAAACAAATAAATGTATAAATAAACATAGTGTATGGAACGACTGCTTTAAATTATTACAGTTTGCTATAAGGCAAGCCATTATGTTTGATTTATATCTTCTCCTAATTCCTTGAACAAATTAATATCATGCATAATTAATTCATACAACAATTAAAGCGACAATTAGATTATCTCCAGAAATTGGATAGATCTTTTCCTTGGCATTTTGTAGAATTTTAAGGGATTTTCTTTTTCCACTTGCGTTTAAATATGTCAAATATTTTGAGTTTTTTTTAAGAGAAAATATTTCTGGAAAAAAGTCAAAATATTGAATGGAAAAATGTGGTTCAATGGATGACTCTAGACCTAAGAACTGGTGCCATAAGTAGCAAAGGTATTCAGGGAGGAGGTGAAGTGTTATGCTTTTAAATGTACAATGACAATGCTAACAAAATTTAATCAAAGACATCATCTTATTATTATAACAGTTATAAATTTTAGGAGAAATCATTTTTATCAAATTATTGCGATTGTTTACAATCAAGCGCAATATTAAGTCCCACGACAGTATGTCGATGCGTTCTTACATTTTAAACATAAGAACATATTTCGGGGTATATTTCTAATCTTGTACCGGATTTACACATTGCTTGCCCGACCTTTGAATATCTTTTCATATTTAATATCTTAAAGTATGGTCTTTGTTAAGTTATAAAAATCGGTCACAATTTAAAACTAACATATTTATATTATATTCCGTGAGGCCATACCCTCGGATAATACGAAAAGACATTTAGATGTATGAAAAACATTTTTAAAAACTGTAAAACGATCGGAAATATGGCCGCAATTTGCGGTCCCGTTCCCGAGTTCCAAACAGTCATCCAAAGCATTAATTAGCGTTATGATGTTAATGCTATACATTTGAAAATATGTTCATGTATTTGTTTTTGATAACAAAACATACATTATGTAAGATAATAAGTACATCTTTATCATGTAAAGATAGCTTTTTATGTCATTTGTAGAACCCCGATTATGTTTCCTGTTAGTCAAAGTGTATAATGTTTTGTTTTTATTTACAGAAACAACGGAAAGCCTGCCTGACAGACCAGCAGAAAAGTTCAAGTTGAATTCCAAATCTGCAGTCAACGATTTGGCGCTACCGACTGAATACGCAAGAAGGTCAAAGGGTTTGAAGATACCTTCATTTTATAAAACATATTTTGACTTTCTAAATACGAGCAAAGAGCACACGGCTTCTGCGTCATTTGGAGTCAATATACTTAATAAAATAGCTGCCTCCGGCGAATACGGGAGTACGAGTACCGAAACCGGGGATACAATCTATGGGAAAAGTTTGGATGAGATTGGTCAAAACATATACGGGGAATCCTCAGTATACCAGCCAAATGACATGACTGCAAGAGACGAAAATTCTGCTCAATTTGAAACATATGCTCAGAAAACTGGTACTTCATCTGGATTTGCAAAAGCAGAAAGGTAACGAAGTGTTCGTTTATGTCTTATATAAACATGTTTGGACTCTATACCATCATTAATAGTTTATTGATACATGCTGACGAGCAAATATAGGAGGAATATAGCCTTAATGCCATTGAGATGAATATGACTCAGACGCAAACCGGTTTGTATGAGATTGATACAGCACGGTATACAAAACGTGTAATCCATAACGTTATTTATTTGCATAATTCTAAATCTACATATATGTTCTAAGCACCCAAAATCAGACTGGTTTTCAAAAGTTTTTACATACAGAACATCTTTTTCTTCATCATTATCTCTTCGGTTCTATGTTATATTTAGGCATCCAATACAACCTTGCTTATGTTTTACTCTGTCTTCGACGATGAAATGAAACGGAACACATTCATGATTTTCCAATTTTACAAAAAACATATGTACACGTTTTAAAAAAACCCATACAAATTTTGAGCCGCGTCACGACAAAACCAACATATTGCGTTTGCGCCCAGCATGGATCCAGACCAGCCTGCGCATCCGCGCAGTCTGATCAGGATCCATGCTGTTCGCTATCAGTTTCTCTACTTGTAATAGGGTTGGTAAGCGAACAGCATGGATCCTGATGTCAGAATGCGCGGATGCGCAGGCTGGTCTGGATCCATACTGGTCGCAAACCCATTACGTTGGTTTTGTCGTGACGCGGCTCATATAATTATATTCAAAGCTGTGAAAGAGACATGTCGTCTGATTACGAGAGATGTAGGAATAGTGAAGAGATACACAAGCGCAAACAGCGGCGATATAGAACAACTTTCACGAGCTTTCAGTTAGAGGAACTTGAACGGGCCTTCCAGAAAACACACTACCCTGACGTCTTTACAAGGTTGTCTTACAATAAATGTTTGTTAATTTTACTACTTTTAAAAACTAATTGTTGTCTGTGTCTCAATTTAAGATTTAAATGTTTCGTGTTTTACTTAATCTTCAGGTATACATGTACATATAGAAAGTCTACTGAATTTCATTTCGGTATAATGTCAGTTTCTCTAATATTCTACAGTACGTACTGTACCGTATTAAAGAAATAGCTCTAACTTTGCGGCAAATAGTGCGTAATTAACTTTCAATTATTTAAACACAAATTATTGTCTTTTTTTATTGGTGAGAATTTTTGTTTCAGGGAAGAACTAGCTATGCGCATAGATTTGACGGAGGCTAGAGTTCAGGTAATTTATATTTGATTAATTTTAAATGTTTTAGAATTAACTCTACATAACGTTATATCTATGTCATCAGTGGTAAATGTAAAACAATATTCAACAAAGAGAACTGAAAAT